CCAAAACCAAAGCATCAAACATAATCATATCAATCTCATACAAGATGAACATCAACATCAAGTCAATCATCAAACAAACATTCAAAATCATAAAGCAAGATGAGATGAAGTCAAGTGGCACAAGAAACAGGGTAGGGCAACAAGCACAACACAATATACTCAAGTCATATCAATGATCAAAGAGGGTACAAGGCAACAAGTCATGCATACCATTCAAAAGTAAACCACAAGCTAACACAAAACAAATATGCAAAGCAAACATCCCAAAGGCAAAGGCATGAGAATATGACATGAAACCAAAGTGAAACCACACATCCACATGATCACCAAGTTTACATTCAAACATGAACATGCAAAAGAGATCATACAAGTTGAAACCAAACATGCCTCAAGAGGAATCAAACATCAAATCAATCATACAAAGGCAAACCACAATCAAGCAAGCATCAAAGTCTCAAATGACTTGAGGAAAAACAGAAAGGGACCCAATCATGGATTAAAAACAAATCACACCAATTTGCAATTTTAAAATCAATTTAAAAAACAAATAAAAAAAAGCAAATAAAAACTAAAAAAGGAAAGAAAATAGTTAAAGCACAAACAAATATCCAAGAACATCACCATAGGTCAGAAACCATCATAGGATCATGTGCTAATTTCCTCATAATTTCAAATGGCTCAAAAATAATTTTAAACAAATTAAAATTAACCAAATAAGTCAAAAATACATGGAAAATAGCAAAACCAGAAATAAAATTAAAAAAAAAATCACCATAGGTTCAAAACCATCATAGGATCATATAATATTTTTCTCATAATTTTAAAATGTCTAAAAACAATTTTAAACTAACTAAAATTGGCTCAAACAAATTAAAATTCAAGAAATAAAAGGAAATTTTAGAAAATATTTTGGTATTTTTTTGATTAAAAATGAAGTTTCTATGAATTTCTGAAAATAAAATGAATTTAAAAACAAAATAGAAAAAGAAAATAAAACAGAAAAAAACAAGATGCGTTGGATCTCGCTTCATTAAATGACGTGGCTAATCCAAGGGCCAGAAAGCACGCATCCATGGTGGATCTGAGTCAATCTCATCATTTCCAACCAGGGAAAGTCAAACACACCAGATTAGAACAAGCGGCATGATGGACGGTGAGATCATCATCTTCAACCTCCAGCCACTTGAAAATCTTAGAGAATTGCATAAATTTGAAGGTCATTCAAACCATAACCATTGTAACTCATAGCGGTTTCATTTGATGTGACTTTTCAAGACGATCTCAACCATATCATCGCGCCATATTTCTTTAAACCATAACTCACTTGATTTGAAAAAACCCAAAAGAAAAAGCAAACACGGATTTGAAAATTAAACATTAAAACTCAACCAAAACTAAAATCTAACAATCCTAACAGCATTAGCACATCAAGGACTACATCTTAGCAACAAATTTGAGTTGAAATGGTTAAGAATTGTACCTGTTGAAGTTCAACTCTAAAAATGGAGTCCTCAAGCTTGATTCGGGCCACGATCCTTAAAGTTCTTGAGCTGGTTAGCTTCACTGAATGTTAGTGAAGCTAACTGAGTGGGGTTTTGAGTGATTAAGGTGTGGAAATGAAAATTCAAAGTTCAAGTTTAAGAGTTCAAATGGGATCTCAGCAAGGTGATTCTGACTATCAAAGCTTATGAAAATGAGTGGAATGAGTCCCTTATTTATAAGAGAAGCTTTCTGAATGTTGAGGGAGGGTGAACGATGCAATTTGAGGAAAATTCGTGCACACCTGCAGCATGAGCAAAATGTGACTTGAAAACTATTAAAACTCACTCAAACCTTGCGTTTTAATGCTCTAATCAATTCAGAAAAGTTTTTTAATAATGTTTAAATAGAATTTGTGGCTTAATTTGGTGATTAGAGGCCATTTCATCCAAATTCAATTCTGACTTGAAGTGAAATTTCAGCTTTGAAATTTAATTTTTGCCACCATGGTTCTCACAATGTAGGAGGCTTTATGAGACGATTCTTCTTGCATTGGATATAGAATGGTACAATCTTTGCAATGTGAAAAGAAAGTATTGATTTGGAAATCTGAGTTGAGAGATATGATCCTTCAAAGTAGCTTGCACGAAAAGGTTCAAAATTGCAAAACACTTAGAAAAATTTCAAGTCTTTTTAGATACCAAAAATGACCTATAATGTTTTGACAAAAAACAAGATCTTCCATAGGTTTTTAGCACTTCCACCTTGAATAAAAGTTGTAGAGGACATATTCAAGTTCATTTTAGAAAAAGAATGGGATATAAATGATGAAAATTGACCAAGTTATGACCTTTTTAAGTTGACTATAAAATCCTTCCAAAACTCAAAATGACCTATAATGTCTTCAAACTTTTAGTGACTTTCCAAGCATAATTGGATTCTTCCTTGCAAAGAGAACTTCTAGGGGATGACAAGAAGAGTTAATTATAAAAATAACCATCTCAAGATGTTGAAAAATTAAGGAGTTATTCCCATTTGATCATAACATCCTCAAATTTCTAAATTAGGTCAAACACCTTGAACAAACTTTAAATCTCTTGATGATTTCTTGCAAACCAAGGCATGATGAACCACATATGATCTTGAAATGATGTTGCCTTAAATCATACTTGAGGATAGGGATCTTTGGGGCTTGAGAATACCATAAAAGTCAAGAAGAAAACCTTGTTTAAGGTTGAAGAAACATGCTCATCTTCCTTGAGACACAAGCCATGATACATTGATCCTTTGTCTAAAACAATGCTATGCAAAAAATGAATATGAAAATAAAATGAAACATAAGCCAAGATCCAAGAGAAAAAATGGGCAAATTTTTGGGTGCTATAGTATTATGGCAAGAAGAATCAGAAGTTGTTGTGAGGGTAAAGTGCCTCATACTTGGTTATACTTGTTTTAATGAAGTTAAAACATATATAGTTATAAAAGTGTACTTTGGATGGTATCATTGAGTTGCATATGCATACGTTATTTTTCTAGTGGAAAGCATGTGTGAAAATGTTTCTTGGTTCATATAGGAAAAGCACTATATGTGTTCTATATGAGTTTCATCATGTTGGTCGAGTTAGAGATGCATTAGAAACACGTTGATGTAGCTAAACATATCAAAATATGCATTTTTGCAAGTTCTGAGTCTTTGAGTCGACTCAAAACTTTCTTAGGTCGACTCATACAGAAGTCAATTTTCATGTTTTGGTCTCAAGAGAGTTTGCGTCGACCCTCCGGTCAACTCATACTGTTTGCATTTGTATTTGTCAAAATTGGGGTGCTTTGCATCAACGCATGAACCTGTTCCGATCACCACAAAGAGCATTTTTCTGCATAATCCTGAATTCGGGAGAGCTCAGGTCGAACCCCTTTGTTTTAGGTCGACCGCTTGCTCGTTTCTCATAAAATTTCTGTTATGTTTACCATTCAAAGTAACTGTTATGTCTGTTATTTGGTTACAACTTTGCATATATATTAAGATAGCTCATTCTACGCAAAACAACAAGAAATGTGAAAATATACACTGATTTGGTTCCCATCATCTTCATCCTCTTTCTTTCATTTTCTCAACAACTACACATAATCATTTTTGTTGTACATTCTACATCATCGAGGTGATAACGTCCAAACTTAGGATCGGTGTATCGGGTTTGGGTTGAGAAATTAGTGAAGTTTTCTTGAATAAAACCTTTAGGGTTTTGTCCTCCAAGAATCTTTGATTTTTGAGGTTTTGCACAAATCGTTCCTTTAGAGATTCAGCCGAGCGGAGGTAATTGAAGAACGGGAGGTTCCGTCAATCTAGTAGCGTTAACCGGAGGATTATGGAAGGAAGGTTTGGGTTCAAATTGTTGGTGTTTGAAATCAGCTGGGCAAGATTTGAAGACCAGAGGGTTGTTCAAATATGGTGTTGTAATCAGAGGTTTACTCATAACGTTCGAAGGACTTTATTCATCTTGAATCAAGGGAAGAGAAGGCATAGGCTCAGCATCAACGTTTGGGATTGAGTTTTTGAATTCTATTACTTCTCTTATAAAAACAATTTGCAATAGGTTATATATACAAGTCTCAATTCTATTTTTAGAGTTGAGGGCATACATACCTCGAGCGAGGACGATGGGGGAACTGCCTCAACAAATTGGTGTTCTCTCTTTTTACTATTTTCATTGTTGGATTTTGAATTTGTGTGCAAACATATTAGTTGACTAAAATTCTGGTGCGTGTTAGTGCTGAATCATTGTTAGAAACCTCATTATAATCCGTTTGATTGTAATCAGAAAAGCATAACACTTCATTCACTTATTGAATTTTACTTGAGGTGCTTCACATACCAAGTGTTCGACTAATTGCGTGAATAGAAATACTTGAGCTGTTTTTCAATTTGGTTTATATTTCATAAGCATTGGAAATCGTCTAACTTTGAGCGAACAAAATCCTATTGATTTGTGTTCAAATTATTGATTCTAATTCTTGTCTTTATCGGTATTCCATATAGGCGTAGCGTATATCCGATCTTTTCGATAACAGTTCGTTTAGACGAGTATAGTTCCTCGGTCGCTTCCGCTTAAAACTTTTAAAAATCAAATTATATTAAGCGCCGACTCTATTTTAAATAAGTGATCTATTCAACCCTCTTCTAGATCATTGTCGTTGTCTAACAATTGTCTTGGTCAGAGGCCAAGAAGAGACATGGTGGTGGTTATCAGAAGTCAGAAGCCTCTAACTATGATGAAAAGAAACATCAAAAGGGTAAGGAGAAGTTTGACAAGAAGAGGGTTTGGTGCTACTATTGTAAGAAGTTTGGTCACTTTGCTGCTGACTATTGGTCAAACAAGGAAAGAAAATCAGAAGAAACAAACATAGTTAGAGAATAGTCTGATGATGAGCCTGTGCTATTGATGGCTTCTGAATTTGATGGTAGATATTTGGTAGATTGGTGGTATGTGAACACTGACTGCTCAAATCACTTAAATGTTCGAATGGAAGTTGTTATTGAGAGTTCTGTTTGGGAACTGAATATAGAAATATTCCTCTTTCTCTCCGTCTGTTGCTGCTTCTCAATTTTTCTTTATCCTCATCTCTCCAATCTCAACAGAACTTCCACAATCCTCGACCATGGAATTTCTTCATCGTTTACAAGTTTTCAGTGGAACTTCCTCTTCATTTACTCTCTCGCTTCAGTTGTGGAAAGTTTATGGTTCGTGTTTGGAGAGTTCAACTTAGCTTCGTATGGAATTGGCAAGGAGGAGATGATTATGTCTCTCTGCTACAGTTATATAACTTCTCTTTTTGCTGCTCCTTTCCTTGGTATGCTCTCAGATTTTATAGGTCACAAGAAAGCTTGTTTGACATATTTGACATATTGTATCCTACACTTCTTTGTCGGTGTATGGAAGAAGATTACACAACAACCAAGCATTATCATGACTAGCGTTTGTCTCTCTATGGCCAATACAATATTCTCATTCAGTTTCGAGACTTGGATGGTCACTCAACATGAAAAGCAGTGACACAAGCTTGCCTTCACTTCTCCGTTGGAATTTTGTGGATTCTTTGGGAACCAATAGTAGTGGCTGATGGCCGAGAAGTGCAACTAGGATTAATATATCTATGCTTTTTGGGCTCAAGGATGCTAGGAAGCACTGTGTTTCCTTGTCTTACTAGTGGACCATCATTATTTAGAATTGAGGACTGCCTAGTTTATGCATACATCACATTGGCTGCTCTCTTGTCTATTATGGCATATGATGACTATCATGAAATTGGAGTACAATAGTAGTCTAGCCAATGAGGAGTGGTTCATTGTTCTTCCTTAAGCCGAAAAATAGAAAAGGAAAGATAATGTAAGGAACCAGCGTGAAAATGTTGTTTTGATGATAGAAAATGCGCAATCACGACTTGGCATAGCTACTGAATCTGTTAAAAAAATAGACGAGAAAACAATCAATCTTCTTGAAAGTGCTAGATAACTATATCAAGTGGTGCCGATACTTGCAAACTCGTCTTGCATGGAATAGTTTAATGGCATGTGAGAAGTTAATCAATAAACTTGTTGGTCAAGAGTTTGGAAATGGAAATGTTGTGTCACACCATGGCAAAGGCTGTCATGCAGTTTTGGCATTCGGTTGAACTACTACCGATGTATCTCAAGAGTTGGAGTATTTACGGGATTTGAAGTCTGCAGTGACTAACATTGATGTTGCTACACCGATAGTGTCCATTTTAGAAAAAATCACTTGAGAATTTGGAACTTAATGCATTCACGGAAAATGATTGGAAATTGGTACAACTGGTGTTTACATTATTTAGAAATATACTTGCTGTTCAAGAAATCCCATTGCATCAGAAATTAGCAGGATCTGCTACTTATTTTTTATCGCTGAGACGATGGTAATGCCTGAAGAACGTACCATTCCCATGAAGCTCCTCTACTATGATGATGTGACGCAGATGGCTGATGAACCACTGTATCCAATAGCGGTGCTTATAGACGAGTTGAAAAATGATGACATCCAATTGCTGTTGAACTCAATTCGCAGGCTGTCGATGATTGCGCGTGCGCTTGGGGAGGAGCGAACGCGTAGAGAATTGATTCCGTTTTTGACAAAAAATAACGATGATGAGGACGAAGTGCTTCTTGCGATGGCGGAAGAGTTGGGAGTTTTCATTCCTTATGTTGGTGGAGTGGAGCATTCTAGTGCATTGTTACCGCCTTTGGAGGCATTGTGTAGTGCAGAGGAGACGTGTGTGAGGGATAAAGCTATTGAGTCACTTTGATCTCAAATGAGGGAGAATGATTTGGTTGAATATTTTATATCATTGGTGAAGATATTGGCAGGAAGTCACGCACGTACGTAGCATTCAAAATGAAATGGAAATACACAAACGACAATCATTTTTTCACTCATTTCCATCTATAAATACAACATACATCTCATTCATTTTCTCCAAGCTTCAAAGCCAGCATTACTCTGCTATTTTTTCTCCCTCTTTCTCACTTCATGAAATCTTTTTCTCACATCACTCTTCTTCCTTTTTTTCTTCAAATTCATCTCAGTTCAAAGCCAAATTACAGCAAGAGTAGATAGCAATAGAAGGAGAATATTTGTTTCAATGTTTACCTACATCTGAAGGTAGTTTGAATTGATTTCACGTTTTCGATTTGACTTTGTTTGTTGACGATTCTTGAAACCGATTATACCATTGCGTTCAGTCTTAAAATAATTTGAATTGATTTGTTCTTGGTTATGTTTCTTGTGATTTCTTAATTGATTGTTGATTGGTTTAATTGTTGGTTGTTGGTTGGATCTTAAATTTTAAGCATGATTTTGTTAATCTTAATGAACCATGGGCGTTGATAGGAGAAATTTTGAATCCGCCAAGAAAGGTGATTGATATTAATGATGACTTAATTGAATTAAGATTTCTTTTGGTTCTGTTTCTTCTTCTTTTTCTTTTGGTTGATGAAATCTATGGATCATGGATTGTTGGTTGTCAAGGATGTTTAATCTTCATTATTTCAAATCTATGGGAGAATGATCATTGGGATCATTCTTTGTACTTTGGTATAGTGATAGATTACCTTTGATTAATCGATAAAAATCTTGATTAAGATGAGAACGCTACCTCTTTTATTTTAGTGTGGCAAGCTTTAGAGAGTGAATTCAATGCCATTTCTCTAACTTGTATTAACACAAATATTGTCATTGACCGACGTCAGATAGTTGTGACTTCTATATAAGTCCAATTACGATTGCTTAAAATAGCGCTAAATTGGTCCCGAATCGAAAATCAAGTTGTCTTTGTAAGCGAGTTATCAACCTCCTAATTGCCATAGTGTGGTGTGAGATAGATTGTTTCTTTGTCATTGAGAGAGTCAGTTGGCATACTCGTCCATTTTATTCGAGTTGGAGCCCTTCCCTTAATGATTTATAGATTTATGTTTTCATGCTTATGGTTGATTGGTCGAGTATTCTCCAAAAAACAAAAAGTTGTTCTTCATCACTAATACTAACATATTAATACGTAATTGCACTAACTTTACTTTATGCCATTTAATTTTTGCTCTTTGATTCTTGTCATTTATTTTATGCCTTTAGTTTTAGCATTTCATATCATATTATCATCTTGTTTTTCTCTTTGTCCATTTGGACCTTTATTTGTACTTTTTCTCTTTTTCTCTTTGTCCACTTGGACCATACTTCTCTTAAGACATTAATAAATACTTAAACACTAAAATACTTGGTTCATAAAGTCTGGACTGTTATGACTTTATGCTTGGACTTTGGACTTGGACTTCGGATTTAGATCTAAGATCCTTACCATATGCTCTCGGAGATTTGAGACCTTGGACCTTTGTGTTTCTTTTGTCTGGAAATTTTTTGTGTGAAGGTGTTAATACTTTGACCTTGTGAAAATCATCTGATACATGTCTCTCCTAATTGGCTTTTAACCTTGGAAAGACCTTACTTTGACTTTGTTATGGCTGAACTTGCGATTTCCTCCGATGCTTTATTTCATCTGGTTATTATGCTTGTGGTTTAAATCCAAAAAAGAAGACGAATGCTTATGTTGACTTGTTGTCATGTGTTTGCTCCTTGGGTGGTTAGATCTTCCATTCTCTAGCTTTTATTTTGCGTTTTAGGGTATTCATGTCATCTCCTCCCCTTCTTCAATTTTCAAAATCTTCTCCCTTTTTCAAAACCTTCTTGTTTTCAAAAATTAAACCGCTTTCATAAAAAATGTTGACTTTTGTCAAATGATTTTCAAACATCATTTTCTTTAATAAAGTTCAATCAATGTTAATCATACTTTGACTAATTTCAAAATACATAAAAATTACAAAAACTCATTCAATCTTTTTGTGCATTTGTGCACTTTTTCATTTAAAACTTTTCATAAAGTTTAGACATGAGTCATTTTCATAGTTGAGATGTAATTCTCCTATTCCCCATAGTATTTAAGATGTTGGCATTTTCCACTTAGATGTTGAGTGATAGACTTGTTGATTTTTATCCAAGCAAAAATCTTCCATCTTAAGATGATGCAAATGTTGTTTTCTTATACTAGTGGGCGACTAGTTGTAGTTTTCTCCTTAATATGACGACTTGTCTTTTCATCTTAAAATTTACCAAACAAACCAATTTTGTTATTTGTACCATGAACTATGAGGTTTTGATCCTATATTGCACTTTGTGGGTACGTAGGCATGAGGCTCAAAAAGTCTCTCTAAACACAAAAATATTAAAAACACACTTCTTCTCTCATCTCCCCAATCTCATTTCAAACAAACCTTTTCAAAACAAAAAACATAGATATTTCAAAGGCTTTCTATAAAGTACTATAGACGTTTTGGATGCTAACACTTTCCCATCACATAACTAACCCCCTTACCTAGTCTCTTTTCATCTGTTCTTCTTTTAGAACTTGTTTATGCTTTGCTCGCTCTTTCTCCTTTCCTTTTGGATAAAATAAAAGTGTGATGGCGACTCTTGTTTTATGATTTAAGTTAATCAATAGCTTACACTCACAATTTTTACCACTACAACAGTGTATCCACAAGATTTTCTGACTTGGTAGTAATTAGTGAAAGGATCAAAAACAGTATGAGGATCGGGAAGATCCGCATTACTACTATATTGTTGTACCCCAAAATTTGCTCAACCTTTTCTTGCCTGATTTATGTTTCATTGCATTTCATTTGCATAGTTACATCATGTACATAGTTCTAATCATTTGCATATCATAGCATAACATGCCTCCAACAAGGGATCAAGGGTGTCTATCAAGTAAAGAGCCTAGCAAGAGGTGTTATCCAAGATTGAGAAGTCATTCCAGTCATCAAGAAGAGATTTAAAGTCTTGAGAAGCTTGAGTGCCTATATGTGGGTTTTACTCCTATCTTGAGGAATATTGAGAATCATCAGTGGGATGAGAAGCATGGATTGTGAATTTTAGGTGTGTATGGATCTCATGGAATTCCTAGAGGGCCTTATTGAAGCTGAGACAAGTCATTGATTCAAGTGCAAGAGCCACAGTTGAGGTGCAGTCAACTAGGGTTTCATCTGGGTCAACCCTAGTTCAATTGTGCAAATTGGAGAGCACAAAAGCCTACTTAGAAGTCATGGGATTCATGAATTGGTATGTTGATACATGTGTGGTGTTGTACCAAGGTTAAGCAAAGAAAGATCAAGAATGTGGGAAGTTGCTAAATTAGGGTTTCAGTGTAAAATCCCTTGTTTAGTGCCTAACTTCAAAGCCACATAAGTCAAAATAAAAGTTTCAAATGGTTCTTTGTCCAACATGAAACTTGTAGAGCATCTTAATACCTTTAAATTGAGTACTAGAAGTCCCCAAGGGGATTTATAGAACACATGTTATGGTCCTTGCAAGTTACAAGTCATCAGAGGACACTGAAATTTATCTGTGAAAGTCACTTGACTTCCAAGCAACTTTTTCCCTTCAAGGAGTTTTAAAATGGATTCTTGGCCAACATGAGAGTTGTAGATATTGGTTTTAGCTTTCCATAGAGTACTAGAAGTCCTCAAAGGGATTTGTAGAACTCAAGTTATGATCTTGGCAATCCAGGGGTATTTTGGGTATTGGTGATTATAGGTCATTTGTGATCATGGGTCAAAATCTCCAACTTAGATGCCTCAAATGGAAAATTGTTCAACTAGAAAGTTGCTAAAAATAGGATTTTAACCTTGAACATGCATCAAGGAGACTTTGAATTGGCTCATAGGAGAATTTGGTTTGAAATGGCTTTGAAATGAAGAAATTAAAGTGATTAAAAGGCCAAAATTGTGGAATTCTTGATTTATGGCCAAACCAAGCAATGTTATATACCAAAATTGATCAGAAAACATATTTTGGAAAGGAAGGCAATATTACTTTTTGGATTTGAGGCCAATTTAACTCATTTCCCTTTTGTTACTTAAGATGGAAGCAACATAACCATCACACTCCATAAGATCAAAAGCAAGGCAATTACACATCCAATTCAATTCTAAGTATCACAAGAGGAGAAATTCAAGCAAGATTGAAAGCTGAAACAGAGCAAGGCATGACTTTGGCATGTGAGATTTTCAAGGGATATGAGAAATTGAATTTCTCATTCAGTTAGTTATAGAAGGTTCTAGAGGTTTCCAACACATTCTATATAAGCATTGCAATTGATTCAGATGGTTTTTTTGGGAAGGATTGAGCCAGAAACAAGAAAGAGCAACTGAATTTTCTTCATTGCATCTCAGAATCGGGTTTGGAGATAAAGGGAATTTCAAGACAAATTGATCATTGGAGAAGCTTTAGAAGTGGTTCTTGAGTGATTCTGCAAAAGATTGGAGGTTGAATCGAGCATTTGCACCTTCTGTTCATCCAGTTTTTCCAGGTTTGTAACTTTCATTTTTTAGCATAGATTAGGGGAAGTTGATTAGCATTTGATATGTGGTTAGGTTATAGATGTTGCTAGGTTGGATTTAGGCACAAATTTGGGATGATTAGAGATACTTTAGGTTGTGATCAGAATTCTGTTGAGAGGAATATCTCATGATTCTTGAGGTTTCAAGCATGTTTGAATAGATAGAATTGAAGTTTGGTGGTGATCAAGAATTGGATGAATCTCTGCAACTTGGATCGGGTTTGGCTTTAGGGTTAGAATCAATGGAAATGGAGGTCTTTTTTGGACTCAGGATGGAATTTCAAGTGAGATAGGGTATTCAGTTGGCCTGATTGATGCATTTTTAGATGTGCCACGCCGGAGAAGACGGTGGCGCAAAG